AGAAGAATAAGCCCAAATGAAGGCTCATAAAAAAGCCGAAATGGCTAAAATAAAAGCAGAAAAAGAAAAAGAAAACACTCTGCAAGAAAAAGTAAGAGCCGAAAGAGTAGAGGCCTTGGAGAAACTTGTCCTTCGAGCTAACTCAGGGAATAAGTACTTCAATTATGAGCTTGCATCACAACCTAGTGGCAAGACTCTCCTAGAAAAGTTCTTAACTACGGATTTTCCAACCTTTAAGGTTACTGACAATCCTAGGACTTACTTAATGAGATTTATTGAAATTATGGCATTGAAAGGGGTTGAGCCAAGCCTATATGCATGTACTTTTCCTCTTTCATTGGACCCAACTGCTAGATCATGTTTTTATAACCTCGATGCAAAACAGACTTGCACTTGGAATGACGTTGTAAAAGCGTTTTTAACCCAATATGGAGATAACATCGAGCTCACAACTACCTTGCGCGATCTTGAATTGCTTAAGAAAGGGGAAGAAAAAGGCTTCATCGACTTATTTTCCAGGTGGCGATCAAAGGTTTCTCTTATTCCACAAAGACCTCCGAATCATGAACTTGTCCCAAAGTTCATAGACAATATGTCTCCACCATACAAGTGCCATTTACAATACCTTGGTTTAGACACATTTCAAAAAGTCTATGTTGTGGGAACATTAATTGAAAGGGACTTGATAAATGAAACCATGAATCATATAGATGGACTTGATTTTTAGAGAGGATTTCACCTACGTCAGAAACGGACAAAGCTCAAAGACGCAATCTCAAGAAGTTGTCAACAATTCAAGATGTAGCACCCTAGGTCTTGTTTTGTTTCTTTCCTTTGTTTTTTAAGATAGACTAAGAGATTCATGCTGTCGAATCTACTTATTTAGTACTCTCATCAATTAATGAATAAAAAATATATTTTCAAGTACGTCTATCTTGTTTTCTTTTCAATCTCTTTATTGTTATTGGCTTACATTAAATAAAACGTATACATACAAACAGACAATATCAAAAGGCATATATACTCAACACTTTAAATAATCTTGATGAGCTTTGCCTTACAAGATGTATTGAATAAAAAGAGGCACATCTTAGGCCCACAAAGAAAGGATATGATGATTCACCAACACAGGAGGCAACGTGAAACTCCACAAATATAATCCCATGTTTTTAACCTTAGAGAAAATCCATGTTTTTGGCAACCCTTTTGAGCCTCGTCAATTGAGCCGTAGTTATTCAACCTACATTATTCCATACCTTGGGATGGGAATGTTGCAAAGATACAAATAAGAAATTGGGGGAACGAAACATAAGAGGGGGACACAAATTTAGTCTAAACCCAAAAGGAAAGATCCAATGCAAAAGAAAGAAAGAAATCGTTCTAAACCCAAAACAAAACTTGTCGAAAAAAAAGAGAGAAAGAAAAAAAAAGAGAAAGGAAAAGGCACCTAATGTAGGACGTTGCCACACAAAGCAAAAAGGCTTTAATTTAAGAAGCACCAAAAGTAAGGGCTATTATGAAATTCCAATCTTCATAACCCCAATCCTAGCCACGTTACAACCTTGGAAAGGCCCTCCTTGAGGTAGAAAATAACCATGTACCAAAATCATCATTCCATGAAAATATGGCCAATCTTAGGCCTTTGCATATATGGACCTACTATTAAGTAGTCATGACCATAAATAAATTGCATGAAGTGTTGAGTTATGATTACAAGATCATATAAAAAAATAAAAAAATTTCAAATGATTTGGATGATTTGATAGCCATTGGCTTGATTACATCATGTTAGTAAAGCCATCGAATCAAACTAAATTCGATGTTTTCCATATCCTTTGCCAAAGAAAAATGAGATGACTATCACTTTAAATTGATTTGATATATCGACAGCCTCGACGTTAACTTTAGATGTCTTTTACAACTCTTGAGAATTGGTCTTTTCACTTGTCATGAGCAACTAAAATGTCCGCCTACGTGGGATATCTCCATCTTCTCTAAGCGAGGAATATTGATTGAACATGATCGCTACATGAAAAAAATGATCGTTATCACTATCACATGTATACCTAACTGCCAAGCCATCACGATGATTCAAATATTAAGTCAATAATCCTTCCTTTCGAAAACATGTCTAATTTCTTTCTTTATTCTTCTATGGGAAAAATGGATTCCCCTTTCTTTTTACACAAATCCGTCTTTTTGTTCATTTCTTTTTTAGGGGGGAAGTCGGGATGATCCCTCCCATTTGGCAACTAAAATACTAAAGAATAGTATAACTTTTTCGCTCTTTGCATCAAATTGGAGGCTTATAAGCCAGGATATCCCCACTTCTCTCTATTTACAGATTTGAACACTGTAGTTCGATGATGTCGTCAAGAATTCCCTAAACTAACTAGTTTTGTGCAAATCTTGAGATCACAGTTTTATAAGTGAATAATAATAACCGTCGGTTATTTTTTTTATCATTGATAAAACCAATTCTAAAACTTACGCATGAAAAAATCAACATGAGTCAAAAGAACAAATTCATGCTATTATAAAAGTTCAAAATTTGATTTTTAATTTTAATGCATAATTGTTGTTCTAAACACTTCAATTTACATTAAAATTAACAAGTATAGCCTATGTGAGCAAGCACAAAGTCAAAATTAGAACAATAAAAACACATATATGCTTGACATGCTCATATAGGATCAATACTTTATCACTTCACATGAAATTTGTTGCAATATATTGCTTAAACATGTCACAACGACAAAAAAACAAATTCATGAAAACATATCGAATAAAAAACCCCCAAAATTCAAAATTTGGGGTTTAACGGTTCGAAAATCGCCCAAATTCAGTCAAGAATGAACGAATTATGGAAAATATGAATAAGGGACGAGATCTACTTCCTTTTGCTTCGAAAAACAAGAAAATTTGAGTTCTTTAGAGAGAGAAAGAAGTGAAAAATCAAGAAAGAAGGAGAGAGAAAGCAAAATGAAAAATCGAGCTAAACGATTCTCTTTTTGCTAACTTAAATGTCGCGCGCAACAGAATTAGTTGCATGTGATAGACCAACGCAATTCAGAACGATATGCGCGCCTTGCCAACGCGACCTACTGAGTTGCACGCGGATACTGGTCACTAAAATGACCGTTATTCAGATTTTGATCCGTTTGATCATTTTTTCAACGGTTTTTGCTCGATATTAGATGTAATGGCGCGCAAATTATCAAAATCTTTTTTAAATTTATTTGCATATTGTAGTTTGTTTTCTTCTTTGTTAGTTTTTTGCATCATTCTTGCATGCACACCGTGCTTTGTGCCTTCCCCAAGCATACGTTTTGAACGTTTTTCGTAAGAGTGCCTTAAGATGTTCCGTGGTGGTGCTTTACGTAAGAGCAGCCATAGACAGGTTTGTCATTTTACTGTACTGATGTTAAAAATATTCGGTTTTTCTTCTTTTTTCACGTCCGAAGCAAAGAGGAAGGCGTTTTCATGCAGCGTAAAAATGCAAATGGCGTATCGTACGGCGGAAAATTGTACGACGTAGGTGTTGCGTAAAATTTCACTCAGCCCAACCTTTGCGTGATCTACCTCTCGGAACTAATAGGTAGAGAATTACTGTAGGCGTTAGCTCACGAGTCGACAGGCGCGCCGAACCTTCAGGAACAAGCACTTCTTGAATGGGAGCAAATACGGTAGTTAGTGCGCTTACTAACTTACCGGACAGTTAGGGTGTCGAATCCACCCCCTGTATAAAGAAGCGACAAGACGATGTCGCGCCTATGTAGTCACGTGCCCCCAGCCCTGAGACACGTGTACTCATCTTGTGGACAAAACTGATGAGAGAGTTACTGACTTTCTTCCCCCTCACTGAATTTGAATATATGCCTCCAGTCCTGAGAGATGTATTTCTATCTTGTGGACGTCTGGCTCGAATACCGGACCATTTCGGCTGGAATACCGAAAACCCTTTTTTCATCTTTTATTTGTTAAAGTCAGGCTAAAGTTTCAATGACATATCGAGGGACTTTAGACCAACGATGACACGAATGAGAGGAAATCCTCCCCTTTTATTCTTTTAAAATCGATCTCTTCTCATGACTTGACATCACCCAGAATACTTTTATTTGTAAGAGCGTTCTACAATTGCAAAGGATCAATCTAGATTCTTTAGCGCGTTAAGACTAGGAAGGACTTTTTCTAGCCTTAATAGCTACTTGTTTTAAACACTTAGCGAACCAAGGATTGTTTCGACATCCTTAAACATTACTAAAAGATTCTCTATCCTTAGAGAACTTCGCAGAATGAGTCTCGGATTTATTTCCTTGACTACTTTGATCATCGTCTATTCTAGACTCGATCAAAGTGGGGCTAACTGTAGATATCTACTTTTGGCCTCCTGTCCCGACAGGAAGTGCAATGACGATAAATAAAGCCATCTTCGTGTTGGATCAAAGTGAAGAATACTAATGGATATCTGGTTAAGCCACAAAACACAAAAGACTAGCCCAAATTAAAGAAAAGCCAAAACAAAGGTCCAATTAACTAAACCCAATCATAATTAGGCTTAAGCCCGTGCTTAAACCCTAACAATGATTAATTTAGGAGCGCCTAGGTTAAAATTAAGTGATGCCGCAGAAAAGTCGCGCACATCTCACAAAGTCGCACTGGGCTGCCGCGCGCAACTAATTCAGTTACGCACGACACCCAGCGCAACTTTCAGAGTTGCGCTGTGGAAGATTTGTAATTATTCGGAAATTATATGGAAAATATAAAATCGAATCTTACCATAAAGCCGCGCGCAAGACAAAAAGTCGCGCTGCACATAGCAGCGCAACTCTATAACTTGCGCTGGGATGCCGCGCGCAACTTCATTTGTTGCGCGCGACACTTGCTGCGGCAGAAAGCTCAAAACCCTTAACATAATCCTTCTCTATAAATACAAGCTTAAACCGAGGCTTCAACAGACATAAATTAACCATACCACTGATGAGTGCACGCATTTGAAGGATAACATAGAAGATCTGGTTAGGAGAGGGTACCTTAATCAGTTTAAGCAGCACGCTGATCTTCCAAGAAGAAGGGATGAAGATAGAATAGGGCGTGATCGCAGAGGAGGTCACAGGGGTCCCGCTGAAGACAGGGACAGAGACAGTAAGCCAGAAGGCAGAGTGTATGTGATCAATGGAGGACCAGTGCACGGGGAAACAATGAACAAGGCACGAGCAGACCTGCGGGCAATGATACATCAGATAAATTACAATAAGAAGCGTAGATGGCCACCACTTCCTCCGCAGCCGCGAGCTACATTTGTTGAATACGATCAAGAAGGCATAGTCTATCCTCATGATGACCCGCTGGTGGTGACAATGAGAATAGCAAATTGGGAGGTGGATCGAATATTGATAGATGGGGGCAGCTCAACCAACATCATATACATCAGCGCGTTCAAAGAGTTGAAGTTAGACAGGAAAGATCTAAAAAGGGTGAGTTATGAAGTCACCGAGTTCAACAGATCCGGATTGACCCCGAAAGGCATAATTGAGCTCTCAGTTTGAGTAGGGGAAAGGTCAAAAAGACGTGACGTTCGGGCAGAGTTCCTGGTCATAGACTCTCCTTCACCTTATAATGTGATCATGGGAAGGCCGCTCATTCACAAGATCGGCGGAGTGGTTTCCACCGACCACCTCGCCATGGCTTACACAACTAATGAAGGGCGATCAGCAAACCTCAAGGGAAGCCAAAAGACGGCTCAACAATGCTACATAACTGCTTTAAAGCAGCCCGCTAGGATCAGGCAGCAGCCGATCTCAGAGCAAAGATCCCTTGAGCAGCCTGAGAGAAAGTCAAGGAAAACGAAGCGCGAAGAATACCATAGGGAAAAGGATAAGAAAAAGTTGGCCATGGAAAATTTCGAGCCTGCAAAAAAGGAGATGGCCAGGCCACTTCCCAGCGGGGAGCACGTTACAATTAAGCTCACCGAGGACGACCTATCAAGAACGGTGAAAATCGGGAAGGTATTGATCCAGGTATAGGGTCCACCTCATAGAACTGTTGAGGGAGAACAAAGATATCTTTGCGTTTTCAGCAGATGAGATGCCTGGAATTGACCCTCCAGTCATGATCCACAGGCTGAACGTGAGAGAGGATATAAAGCCAGAAAGGCAGAAGAAACGAAGCTTCTCAACGGAGAAAAACCAGGCCATCTAGGGGGAAGTAGAAAAACTTTTGGAAGCAGGATTCATTGAGCCTTGTGATTATCCAGAGTGGTTGGCCAACGTAGTCATGGTCAAGAAGGCGAATGGTCAATGGAGAATGTGTGTTGATTTCACTGACCTCAACAAAGCCTGCCCAAACGACTGTTACCTGCTGCCACGAATAGATCAACTTATAGATTCAACCAGTGGGCACGCCAAACTGAGCTTCATGGACGCCTTCTCAGGATACCATTAGATCAGCCTGCACAGCCCAGATAGACAGAAAACCGCATTCATCACTAAAGGGGGAGTGTAAAATTACATAGCTATGCCCTTTGGGTTGAAGAATGCAGGAGCAACTTTTCAAAAGACAATGGATAGAGTGTTCATGCACCAGAAGGGTAGAAATGTGGAAGTATATGTGGACGACTCAATTGTAAATAGCGTCACGCAGGCAGGGCATATCTTGGATTTAGAAGAAACATTTGCCACTTTGAGAAAATACATCAAACTCAATCCGAAGAAATGTGTCTTCGGGGTGAGTTCAGGAAAGTTCTTAGGCTTCCTGATCAGTGAAAGAGGAATATACGCAAATCCAGAAAAGGTTGAGGCAGTCCTAAGCCTACCTGAGCCTAAGTGTATCAAAGACATCATGCGATTGACAGGCAGAATGGTCGCACTGACCAGGTTCATCAGCAAGTCAGCAGACAAAGCCTTGCCGTTCTACCAGCTGTTGAAAGCAGGGAACAGAGAATTTAGGTGGGGAGCCGCAGAAGGTGAACTAAGCTCCCAACAATGATCAGCCCGGAGCTGAGGGAAAAGTTGCAGCTGTACATTTCCACGTCAATTCAGACAATCGCAGCCGTCCTCTTAGTAGAAAGCCAAAAACAACAAAGGTTAATATACTTTGTGAGCCAAGTACTGACTGAGGCAGAACAAAGGTACCCATTGGTAGAAAAACTAGCCTTCGCAGTGGTAACAACAGCAAGGAAGTTGAAACCGTATTTTGACGCGCACATAATACAAATCCTCACAAATCACCCACTGGAAAAAGCATTGCAAAAAATGGACGCATCAGGCAGACTCTTGAAATGGGTCATCGAGATTTCTAAGTATGAGTTGGAGGTCAAACCTAGGGCAGCCATCAAGGAACAAGCCTTATCAGATTTTATCGTGGAAGCCTCTTATGAGGAGAAGGAATACGACGTTGGGATCTGGAGGGTAGAAGTAGATGGATCCTCAGCCCAAACAGGGAGCGAGGCAGGAATTATAATGACATCCCCAGAAGGAAATGTATTTGAGTACGCCATAAAGTTCAAATTCAAAGCACCAAATAACAAGGCAGAGTACGAGGCAGCACTGGCAGGCCTGCGTATGAGTATCGCAGCCGGAGCCAGGAAAGTCCATCTGCAAACTGACTCCCAGCTTGTCGCCAATCAGCTGAAGGGGGCGTACTAGATTAGGGAGCCCACCATGTTGAAATATGTAACTAAAGTAAAGGAATTGGCAGCCCAGCTAGTTCACTTCCAGATAGACTTGGTCCCTAGAGCGGGAAACTCCCAGGCTGACGCCTTGTCAAAGTTAGCCAGTTCTACCCCTGTAGAGCCTCACGAGGACGGTGATGGTGGAAGTCCTGGAGGAAAGCAGTATCGCCGAAAAGGAGCAGGTGAACTGCATTGGGCAACAGCGAGCTTGGTTCACATACATTCTGGCATACAAGGTTCATGGCTCGCCACTAGATGACGAAGTACAAGCTAAGAAGGTAAATAAAGACGTCAATTGGTACGTGGTAATGAATGGGGAGCTTAACAAGAAGGGCTTCTCGAAACCACTGCTGAGGTGTATCCCAGAGTGGGAACAGGAAAACATTATGGAAGAAGCCTACTCAGGAATATGTGCCAACCATATTGGTGGAAAAGCATTGGGGGTGGAAGTTCTAAGAAGAGGCGCATATTGGCCAACTCTAGATCAAGACACGCTGGCATATGTGAAACAGTGCGACAAGTGTCAAAAGTACTCCCCAGTCATAAACCAGCCAGCAAATGATCGGACTCCAATCCTCAGCCCGATCCCGTTCGCCCAGTGGGGAATGGACATATTGGGACTGATGCGTCTATTTTATATAGTATTTTACCCTCGTCCCTTGGTCATAATTAGTAGTGTTTTTGGCTCTTTAGAGCCACTTTTATTACTAATTGGTGTTTTCTAGTGTTTTCGTAGATTTGGTTGACTTTTGCAGGGATTTATACTTTTGGAGTATTATCCCGAGATATTTTGGAGCAATCACAAACATTGGAAAAGCACGACCAGATTTTATAGCCCAGGGCCGGTTAGAGACATTGAACCGGTGATTAAGGGCTTGGTATAGGTGATATCGGACATTTGGACCGAGTAATCAAGACCCAAAGAAGAAACCCAGATTGGCCCAAAGAATTGGAGCCCAATCGTACTCAAAATAGTGGCCCAAGAGAGCCGCCCGGCCAAAGAGGCTGGCGCTCAGAGGCGCGCTCGGCCGGGCAGGAGAAGCTAAGGCTGGCGCCCAGTGACGCGCCCTGCCGCGGGCGCGAGATTAGTTTTGACGAGCAAAAAGGCGCGCCCGATCGCGCGGTGCCTCGCCTGATCAGGCGCGTGTATTTATTAGGAGACGATTAGCGTCGTTTTAGTTTGTTTTAATTTAGGATTTGTACGAAGTATAAATACTCCTCCGTAATACGATTTTGGTTCTCTTCTCTTCTCTCTCTCCTTCTTTCCTTTGGACTCTTTCTTTATTCTCCTAATTGTTTTCTTAGATTCTCTCCCTCTTAAACCTTGGTTCTTAATCCATTCTTAATTCTAGATTTGTTTGGTAACTATTTCTCTTCTCTTAACCTTAGTTATTTATTCTATTCCTTTAATTATGTCTTACTTTATTGCTTTGATTAGTTTAGTTTCTATTATGTGTGAGTAGTTTTATTTCTAGGGTTTATGGGGATCCTTAAATAATATGAAGGGGTAATTTATTGTTGTTAATTATCAATGCTAGATTAATTTCCTATTGATTGATTTAATGCTCTGTGACTAGATTAGGCCTGATCTTTTATGCATGAGTTTGACAATATTGATTCGAGATTCGAGAGATGAGAAATGATGTTTAGGTCTAGTTTCAATAGGCAGATTAATTTATAAATGGTTAAGTCGAGATTCGAGAGATAAGATTTAATACCGGTGGATTAATTCTGTGATTGTAATACGTAGCGAAAGCCCTTTACGATCTGGTTAATTGATGCATTGATGATTGACTATTATTGATTTCTGATATTGCATGATAATTTCTTATTGAATTGTTTCAACGCTTTACAATTATGGCTTGAAAAAGTATAACAATATTAAATTGATGAATCGAGCAGATGTTAATTTGATATTAAAGGCTATTTTCAATAGGAACTTAGATCTAGTAAATTGCGAGAGCCTGTTAGATATATGTTGATTAATAAATTGCGAGAGCCTGTTAATCATGTTATTTATGCAATGTCAATGATTGATTATTATGTTTTACCCTGGAGTATTATTTATTTGTGAACCTATGCCCTAGATCCTTTTATATTATTTTCTCCTTATTCTTAATCTCCGTAGTTTAGTTTATTATCCAAATATAAATATTGGTTACTTCATAATCTAGATTATATTAGTTAATTAGGAATAGAAAGACTTGTTTCCCTGTGGAGTTCGACCCTACTTCCCTATCTACTTTAGTTAGAGGACTTAGGTATTTACTTTTGATTAGGAGATACGACTTTACCCTGTCAAAATTTGGCGACGTTGCCAGGGAAACGGTTTTATTTTTTATTTCTGATTATTTTTGTAGTCTAGGTTATTTTCTTTTTGTCTCAAAGAAAATTAGTTCTCTGAGGCAAATCTCATATTTGCTTCTAGTTTTTTGTTTATGCCCAGGTGTTCTAGATCAAGGTACATCTCATTCGATCCTGAAATCGAACGATCTTTTCATAGACAGAAAAATCTCTACAAGCAAATCCTGGCGGATTCTGGTGATAATAACAATAATCACCGAGACCCTCCAACTGGTTCTAGCGATTCAGAGGTATCATCAGATCCAGAATCAGAGATGACGGCTCCAAAGAAGCTTAGTGATTACTCACAACCAAAGCTTTCAGATTTTCCACATCTCACCCCCACTCCGGCTCTTGATGGGGTTCAATTCGAAATTAAACCTCAATTTATAGCTGTTTCGGGGTATTCTGATGTCCTGCGGGAGAGTTACAATTCCGAGACTGGAACCGGACGCCTGTACCTGCAAAACAAACGGATGCTCCGGATGATTGGAGATCCGCCTCCGACGGTCAAGTTAGTACTTGATTAAGGAG